CTGTAAGATTGACTACTCATCCCTTTTTGTTACAAAACTTCTACCATTACAATTGTGACAGTCTCAATTAGTCATGATAACAGTTACTATTGAATCATAAGAATCATATCCCCATCTCTTTTCACCAGACCTGTCTAGACAAGATGAAAACTATTCAGTTGGGGACTCTTATCTTCCCTGCACACTCTTGAACGAATCTTCGTTCCTTTATCGTCCCCTCATTTTAGGTAACCAATGTCTGAGTTGCCCGTCCCTGTCTACTCTGCGTATAGAAGGGATAGGATTGATACTTGATATTAAGACTCCTTCCCTCTCAGTTGGTATTTTGAGCTACTACATCCATACAGTATAGATCAAGTTCATCAAATTGTAGCAGTTTACACTCGTTTCCATTATTGTTTCTTTTTGTTTTTAATCTTCTTCTAGTCAAGTTCTGATTATCAAGATATCAAGGCTAGGTCACATGGTTACTATCTGCAAGTTTGGGTGTTCTTGTGTGTCTCCCCTCACTTCATATCAGCTGGATGCTTAACTCTCAGCATTACCCTTCTGTGGCTGTGTCCTTGTCCATTGGCTCAGGTATCAACCAGCCTTTCCTCTTCTGTCTCTCATCTTCAGGTCAACAGGAGTCTGTGGAACATGGGTGAACTCAGCCCATTTCTTAATTGCTGCCCTTTCCACTCTTCTACTTATCAGTTGACCACTCTGGTTGCCAACAAGCTTACATGTCTGCTCATGTGTTCTCTTTGAGTTTCAGTGTTATAAGGGGGGTTTTGTCTTGAAGCGACATGATTGCTTGCCTTGATGGTTTCCTGGTGAACAACTTGCTTGTTCTTATAGTAGCCAACCATACTGCCATTTTTGTTTTGGGTTTATCCTGCAGATCTTTCTTTGAAGATGTATCTTCTGTTGTTCTAGCTGTTCCAGGATGGTCTGCTTGTCCTTTCTAGTGGGAATGTCCCACCTCAGAAGGTTCTGGATGGGGCTTAGAATTCTACCTAAGATCTTAGGCACTGTAAAGGCTCCGCAAGAGGCCTATTTCACTGGGCAACATTTTCTCATACTTTTGTCTTACTCACAATCTCTAAATCAAATAATTTGTTAAGATGGGCTTGGATCTTAATAAGATTTTACAGTGGTGGGTGCTCACTGTAAAATATGTCAGTGAAATGAAAAATATATAAGTAGAATTAGATTAGATTGCTTATTTTTCTTTGAGGATATTGCAGTAATAATGACAATAATTGTTTTGTTTTTATTTTATATTTAATTCCCTAGCAGTTACTAAGATTTGATAGGCCAAAGGTAAATGAAATCAGCATGGACTGAAACAGTTGCTTTCTTATTATTTTGCCTGTATTAGATTGCATTTCCTTATCAAGACAAATTATTTGACAGATTTTCTCTATGATTTGCATTTTTAAAATTTGACCTGTTTGGGCCTTAAGAACATACAGTTTTACTTTAAAACACTTTGTCTCTAATCTTCATTAGGTTATTGATGCATCACATCAGAGATTGCCTACCAGAGTTGAAAACAAGAATAAATGTTCTAGCTGCTCAATATCAATCTCTTCTAAATAGCTACGGTGAACCTGTGGATGATAAAAGTGCTACTTTACTCCAGCTTATTACCAAATTTGCCACAGAATATTGTAACACTATTGAAGGAACTGCAAAATATATTGAAACTTCAGAGTTGTAAGTAATTTTTCTGTGGATCTTGTTACCAGATTGCTAAGTCATTTAAACTTTTGTTATAACGTCTTTGTAACTCTGAGTTTATCTGATTGTCATTTACCATCTATAAAACAGGGAAATCTTTTTTAGAAATGATACCATGTCTGTTGGATATGTGTATAAAATTGCTTTATAAACTATGTTGTTTTGCGCCATTGAGTCAGTTCTGACTCATAGAGACCCGTATATAGGGTTTCCGAAGCTATCATAGAAAGTGGATCAAACCTACCAGCTGCTCCTAAGAAACCCTATACAGGGTCACTATGAGTTGGAACTGACTCAATGGCATGTAAACAACAATTATAATTTTTAAAATTTATGTAGCATTTTATTTTTTAGAGATGTTTCTGAGTGGTACAAATGGTTTGTGCTTGATTACTATCCTAACCCAAGGGTTGGCAGTTTGAACCCACCCAGCACAACCATGGAAGAAAGGCATAGCCGTCTTTTTTCATAAAGATCACAGACAAGAAAACACTGTAAGACAGTTCTGCTTTGTAATATATAGGGTCACCAAGAGTTAGAAGCTACACTACATCAAATTATTTGTGTAACCGATCCTCCATTGGATAATTTATATTTTCAGTTATACACAAATATAAATAATGTGATGGAGATGGACTATCTTGCACTTATATTTGGGGTTATGTATACGAATTCCAAGAAGCAAAATTACTGCATTAAAGGGTAAATCATCTTCAAAGTCTAACTGCTAGCAGTATAAGAATGTTCACTTTTTATTTTCTGTTCTTTTTAAAAACTTTTTATTTTGAAATATAGATTCATAAGAAGTTGCAAAGAAATGTATAGGGAGGTCTTATGTAGCCTTCCCTTCACCTCTCCCATTGTTGATATCAGTTATACATATTTCTCCAGTTATACATACACTTATATAGCTGTGCTTGTGTATATAGTTATACATTCCTCTGTGATACACGTGATCTTTTAAATGGCTTAACTCCATAAAGAGATCGATTGTTTAGCAGCAACCCTATAGTACACAGTAGAACTACGCCGTAGGGTTTACTAGGATGTAATCTTTACAAGAGCTGACCGCCTCACCTTTCTATGTGGGTGAAGCGCATTTGAACCATTGATCTTTTGGTTAGCATTCCAGTGTTTAATCCATTATGCCATTAGGGTTCCCAATTAATAATGTTATTAAGTATATGGCATATTGGGGGAAGTAAAGATGACTACTTACTTCAATAAATATGACTAAGCTGGGTCTTCAAGGAGTTTAGTGGGTAAGATGGGACAAAGCTTGACTAGGTGGCAGAAGGAGTATAATCAAGTATCTTTTTTTAAATGCTTCTTGGGAGTTGTGTTGTGGCGTTTGGGTTAGATTGCAAAGTCAGTTTGATCTGCACGGTTGGTCGTTCAAGCTTTTATCAGCAGCTCCTCAGGAACCCTATACAGGGTTGCTATGGATTGGAACCAACTTGATGGCACTTAACAACATCATTAAAAAGAATAATCAGAAAAGTCCATACAAGATCTGTCCAGTTGTATAAATAGTAAAAATACGTACAAGGATAAGTAAAAATTTGTTGCTTCAAGATTATAGAAATCTTTACTGAACAAAAATATTAAAATATGAAGCTATTGCTTCATGACATAGCCTCCATCTAGGTCTATATACTGCTGAAGGCAGTGTTTCTATCACTCTAACCTGATTTACACCATGTCAAAATGGCAGTTTTGGCATCTTCAAGGCACTCAAATTTTGTTCCTTTTAAATGTTCTTGGGATTTTGGGAACAAAAAAAAAAAAACTAAAGGGTCACACTTGCGGTGGAGGGTGCATGAGATATGGTTTCACAACAAAATTCTCATAGGACAGCCTTTGCTACACTCAGAGAATAAGCAGGTGCACTGTCATGATGGCAAACAAGTTTTATTGTAACTTTCTTGGTCCTTTTTTTGCCAATACAATTTTTGACTTTTTGAAAACTTCTTTATAATAAATAGATCCTGGCCATTGTTCAGTGTCATTTGAGAAAATCTATAAGAATTGTTGTTGTTGTCAAGTGCTGTTGAGTCGGTTCTGACCGATAGCAACCCTGTATAGGGTATCCTAGGAGCAGCTGGTGAGTTTGAACTGCCGACCTTGCAGTTCAAACCACATTTGCAGTCCAGTGCATTAACCTACAAAGCCACACTATCAAGATTACCCGTTTGGAATTGTAAAAAACAGGTGCTGTAACTTTCTGAGATGACCTCTGTTTTAGATTTAACTGGCCTGGCAGATCCCCTTGGAAGCCAGTTTTTTCTTTGAAGGCACCCAAAGGAAACTAAGACAAGTGCATTACTGAGAGAACATGTCTGCAGCCATCCATTGATCACAGAGACATGTTTAACTACATTTTGTTTGGAATAAACCTGTGCATTTATGAAATGAGACCCTAGTAGCAGTACTTTTTGACACCCTTGTATATGTATAATCACCTAATAAAGCATCTAGAAAAATGAAGAGAGTTGGTTTAAATATTGGGAGAGCTCCATAGTTAAGAAAGTATTTTGAGTTGGGCTTTAAGTATAATTTGGGAAGGCAATATGGAGAAACGATAAGGCAGGAAAGAAAATGTCTAGACATGATTATGGAAAGTCTTGAATATCTTCTTCCAGAATTCTCAGCGCTTCCTACTAAAAAAAACAAAGTATTTTTGGTCAGAGAAACAACCTGTTTCAGAAGGATAATTATGGAAAAGTATTTGGAAGAGGTGAAAGACTGAAGGCACGAAGACAACTTACTATAGTAGACTAGTACTCTTGTTGGGACTACTACAAGAAAATTATGGTGGTAGTGAAAGAGATGATTTGGTGAAAAACTTATTTATAGAACTCAGCTGGAATTTTAAAAAAAGCAATACGAGGACTTCTGGGCATTAAATAAGATAGTAAATCCAAGATGTCTAGGACCTAGGCCTGGAATTTCTGATTTCAGCTGGTCTAGACCAGGAATTAGCAAACTAGAGCCTTCAGGTAAGAATGACTTTTATAGTTTTTAATAGTTGGGAAAAAAATCAAAAGATGTTACATGTGAAAATTACATGAAATTAAAATTTCTGTGTATATAAATAGTTTTATTGGAACACAGACCAAAATATGTAAACACACTTATGTGTTTATACTTTATGGTCTGTGAAAGTAAAAAAGGTCTTAACCTACCCTTCACAAAAAAGTTTGCTTATCTTGCTGTAGATTACAAATAGAACAGAAGACAGACATTGTTTTCTGTTCTTAGGAGCTCATAGTCTCAGTGAAGAAAACTAGGACAGAGAAAAGGTGTTTAGTTGTTCTTAGTTAACTAATGAAACAGTTATTGTAAGTAATACAAGTATATAAGTATTTCATGAATGGCTCCTTTCCTATTGTAAATAAATTAGAAAAACTGGTTCGTAATGGAGTTGAGACCATAAGAAAATGGGAATGATCTAAATGTAATTGCTTATGTGATACTTTCATGGAAAGTGAGACAAGCTTAAAGTTTACAGAAAGACTTCTACCTTGTAGATTTTTTCCTTTTTAGCTAATATCAGATTCCATATATTTCATTGCCTTTCAGATGTGGGGGTGCTAGAATATGCTATATTTTCCATGAAACTTTTGGGCGGACCTTAGAATCTGTTGACCCACTTGGTGGCCTTAATACTATTGACATTTTGACTGCCATTAGAAATGCTACTGTGAGTATGCTTTTAACTTTTAGAATTTTTTCAAATGTGGTTAGAGCTTTATTATTTCTTACTGATCAATATTATTTATCATTGGTGTAGCTTTTAAAAATTCATTGCAAAATTTTACTCTCATACTTGAAATTAAGAACCACCTTTTATGAAAAAACACCTTAAAATGTGATTAGTTTTGAATTTATGGGAAAAACTAGTCACATACAGCTATAGTGAAAGCCTGAATTTTTTTTTCCCCCCAGGGTCCACGTCCTGCTTTATTTGTGCCTGAGGTTTCATTTGAATTACTGGTCAAACGCCAAATCAAACGTCTGGAAGAGCCTAGCCTCCGTTGTGTGGAACTGGTTCATGAGGAAATGCAAAGGATCATTCAGCACTGTAGTAATTACAGTACACAGGTAATGAGAGAAATGTAACAGGTTTCTGTTTAACTAGTAAAGGAAGAGTGGTGGTCAGGGGGTAGTAGGAAATGTATGATGGGCCAACAGTGAAAATCTACAGTTACTTTCTAAAAGGGATTTGGAATACTATCACTAAGTATAATTTCCTAATTTAATTCAGTATTTCAGTGATTATTTCATTTTCCTTTAAATGAAATAAACTGTTACTTTTTCCTTTTCTCCATTATATACAGGAATTGTTGCGGTTTCCTAAACTTCATGATGCCATAGTTGAAGTAGTGACTTGTCTTCTTCGTAAAAGGTTGCCTGTTACAAATGAGATGGTGAGCTATTACGTCTCAAATCGTCATTGTCATCATTAGTAAAAATAAAAATTTTAGTTTGATATGTGCACCAATGGGAAAAAAAGTACATGTCAATTGTATTTCAAAGGAAAATTTTCAATATTTCTTAATGATTTTTCATATTTTAACCATTCTTAGCTTGTAGCTACAACTTTCATGAAAACTGACTTATTTGTTGAGGGATTATAAATCACAATCCTGCTATGTAGCACCTCAGATCTAATGGAAAATTACTTCTGTTTCAGCCTTAGTAAATGGAATTGCTGTATTAAGTTCCTTTTTTAACTCTAAAGCGTAATTTGGCCATTTCTACTGTTTGTGGTGCCATAGGATAAGCACTAGACCTCAAGGTTGGTTTGAACCACAGGTGGACAGTTCAAACATACCAGCCACTCCTCAGAAACCCTACACAGGATTGCTATGAGTTGGAACCGACTCAACAGCACTTAACAGCAACTCTTGACTTATTTGATGACTTAACACTATGTAATATCATGGTTGTTTGCGACTGTTCTGTGAGTTGCTGTATTCAAAAATAAATACGATGAAACTGGCAAAAATCAAAAACAGGCATTTGAAATTGCCCTTATACCTCTAATTGTTTGCTGGTTTGTTTTTTCCCCTGGTTATAAACTTGCATTTGTGTCACTGTCTGCAGATAGTGATCCCTATGAAAGTTTACTAAGAGTACAAAATTATCCTTTGGAAGCATAGAATGTGAATTGATTGGTCATTGGAATAAGTATAACCCTCAGATTGAGATGGAACTTGAATAAATCTTTTTTAGCTGGTTCTTGACTTTTTACTGCTATTATGGTACCTGAGGGAGTTCTAATGTAGCGCTGTGAGTTAATGCGCTGGACTGCAAAGTCGTTTAAAACCGCAAGGTCAGCAATTCAAGCTCACCACCTGCTCCTCAGAAATCCTGTACAGGGTTGCTGTGGGTCGGAACCAACTCGACAATACTTAACAGCAACAACACGGTACCTGAGATTCATCAGGATTGTGCAAAGGCCACATTAAAGAAGCCATTTCATTTCTTATATAAATCCTGAGCAATGTCTATAGCGGGCTGGAAAAGATAATTTCAACTTTTCTTTTTCACTATTGTCTCATTATGAGTTTGAACTAAATAATACTATTTAAATTTTAAGTTAGGTTGTGTGTAGGTTCCACCTCATAGCAATCCTATATAGGGCTTCTGAGGAGTGGCTTATGGGTTTGAACTGCTGATCTTGCAGTTAGCATTCCAGTGCTTATCCTAACAATGCTTCATAATTAAAGCTATGTCAGGGCTTTACTGTGTCCTTTACAATAGAAAGGTAACATGTTTAATTTATACTTATCATGAATAGCTTTTTTACTGTAAAAAAAAACTTTGCATATAGCCTTGGAACTTAGATAGATACGCATTAGATAATTTTTTTTCACTAACAGTGAAATACTTTGTTTCCATGATGTCATTTTTTATGTATTATCTAGTAATGCAGTCTTAGTTAATGAAATGTAAGATAATTGAAGAGCTAAGTGCATAAGTTTATCATTGGAGTAGTATAATTGTTGAGTATTAACTCATGAATATCCTTGTGGTCTTTTAGCATGGTCTTTTAGCATTGTCTGTTTAATAAAATTTTAAATATTAAGTTTCTCAAAGTAAAATTTGATTGACATGTTTTTTATTTATATAGCCTAACTTTATATTTTTTCTAGGTTCATAACTTGGTGGCAATTGAATTGGCTTATATCAACACAAAACATCCAGACTTTGCTGATGCTTGTGGGCTAATGAATAATAATATAGAGGTACTTACAATTCATCTTTTTCAGAGATAGAAAATCTGTTGTAATATTGTATTCAACTTATTTAGCGTGGGATAAATGTAACTTTAAACTATATGTGCACTGTAGTAGTGCCCACTGCATGACAGGAAGTATATGCTGAGGACTACAGTGTCATGTCCTTACATTTAATTCTCAAACCTCTTCCCCCTAGAGGCATTGTTCTTATTTTCTGCTTATGAAATGGAAACTTCTGATTTAATGTTGAAGGACTGATTGTATGACTTTTTCTGTAGCTGTTGCCGTTTTTTCAGGTTGGTGTGAAACAAACTGAATGTTTTAAATTGTTTTCATTTGGCTTTGAAAGCTGTGAAAGAACCATTCCAAGAGCTGTCCAACTCTTCAGAAATTTGGAAAAGCAGAATACTCTTTTTCAGCATTATTGGGGTGCTGTATTCTATGGTCCTTTTCTTTTTATTTGATGCTATTATAACAAATTGTATAAGATGTCATGGAATTGAGACTGGTGGGTGAAGCAACTTACCTAGATGCTTTTTCTCTGCCACTTTTATTCAAGAACAGTAAGTTTTTCTGCTGTTCCACAATTCAGTAAGATCTCAGAATGCCTTTCTATATCATTATTTCTTCATGTGCATGTGAGTGGAGAGAAAAGTGTAAACATGAAATTTGAGAACTCGATGAAAGCATGGGTTATCAATTCCAACCCCTTTTTTATACAGGTGAGGAACCCGAGGCTCATAGATAAAGGTAGTGTTTTAGTGTTTATTTTGGGGGGCACAGTTATGGGAAGTAACAGGTACAGGGTGTTAGGATATTTTAACTATCCAACTGAGATAACTCATTGTCAGGAAAAAAATCCCAGGATTAAGGCACTTTAAAACAAAGTGGTAGATAGGTAACAGTTATTTTTTTAAAAAGAAAAAAATAGCATGTAGACAAGTATCTCCTTAGTATAAAGATACAGTTCTTATTAAATTGAACTTAATCTCTTCAAAAAAACTTGTGTTAGGAACAGTTTTTGTTATACTGGCAAGGTCATATATGATAATAGGATTACAGATCACTTTTTCTACATATGAGTAGGTCTCTGGTTTAATAACATTATGCCCTTAATAATTAGAGTGTGGCATGACAATGTATAAATCTAGGGAAACTGGATGTTGTTAAAAATGAACACATAAAGATCAATGTCCTAGGCAGTAGGACACTGAAATGGATTGGTATTGGCCATGTTGAATCAGACCATCATGATTTACTATGCTGGGTATGTCAAATTGAAGAAGAATGGTGTCACATTAATCATTGAAAAGAACATTTCAAGATCTATTTTGAAGTACAACGCTGTTAGTGATAGAATAACCCACAAGTAAGATGAGTCAAGACCACTTATTATTCAAATTTACACACAAACCACTAGTGATGATGAAATTATAGAATTCTACCAACATCTTCAGTCTGGAAGTGATCAAACTTGCAATCAAGATGCATTGGTAATTACTAGTGATTAGAATGAAGAGGTTGTTGAAAAAGAGAAAGGATCAGTAGTTGGTTATAGAAATGACATTGCAGATCACATGATAATTGTTTTTCCAGACCAACAACTTCTTCCTTGTAAACGCTTTTTTTAAAGAACATAAACAGATGGATCTTATCAGATGGAATACACGGAATCAAATTGATTACATCTGTGGGTAAAGATGGTGGAAAAGCTCCATATCATCAGCCAAAGCAAGGCTAGGGGTAGAATGTGGAACAGACCAATTACTCATATGTAAGTTTAGGTTGAAGCTGAAGAAAATTTAAACAAATCCATGAGAACCAATATATGACCTTGAGTATATCCCACCTGAATTTAGAGACCATTTTCAACAACAGATTTGCTGCATTAAACACCAGTGACTGAAGACCAGAACAGTTTTGGGATGACATCAAAAACATCATACAGGAAGAAAGCAAAAGGTCACTAAAAAGACAGGAAAGAAAGGACAAAAATGGATGTTAGAAGAGACTGAAATTTGCTCTTGAGCATAGAGAAACTAAAGCAACTAGGAGAAATAAGAAAGAAAAAAGACCTGAACAGAAAATTTCAAAGGGCATCACAATAAGCCAAAAAAATATTACAATGAAGTGTGCAAAAACCTGGAGTTAGAAAACCAAAAGGGAAGAATATGTTAAGCATTTCTTGAAGTTGAAAGAAAATGAAGAAAAAAAAAAATCAAGCCTCGACTTACAAATATTGAATGATTCAATGGAGTCCTGATGTGACACTGTAGGATAAGCACTGGACCGCAAGCTTAGTTTGAACTGCAATGTTGGTGGTTCACATCCACCAGCCGTTCCTTGGACACACTATACAGGGTTTGCAGTGAGTCAGAACTGACTTGATGGCACTTAACCACCACAACAACATGGGCAAAATAATGAATGATATAAAAAGCATCAAAAGAAGATGGAAGGAATACAGTTACTGTACCAAAAAGAATTGATCGGTGTTCAGCCATTTCAAGAGATAGCATATGGACTACACTGAAGGCACTGGCAAAAAACAAAGCTCCAGAAATGGAATGTTTCAACAATCTGATGCAGGAGGTGCTTCACTCATCTATGCAAAAAAATTTGAAAGAGAGCTACCTGGCCAATCTTGTGGAAGAAATTCGTATTTGTGCCCATTCTTAAAAAAAAAAAAAAAAAGATGGCCCTATGTAATGCAGGAATCATTGAACAATATCATCAATATCATATTCAAGTTAAATTTTACTGAAGGTAATTAAGAAACAGTTGCAGCTGTACATTGACCAAGAACTGCCAGAAATTCACACCAGATTCAGAGAGGACGTGGAACATCATTGCTGATGTCAGATGGATCTTGGGTGAAAGCAGAGTACCAGAAAGAAGTTTACTTATGCTTTATTGACATGCAAAGACTTTTGACTGTGTGGATCATAGCAAACAGTGGATAACCTGAAGAATAGGTCTTCCAGAATACTTAATTTTGCTTATGAAGAACATGTACATAGACCTAGAGGCAGTTCTTAAAACAACCAAGGAATGCCAAGTAGGTTAAAGTCAAGGTTGTATCCTTTCACCATACTTATTCAATCTGTAGACTGAATAAATCATCCAAGAAAATGGATAACATGAGTTAGAATGGGGTTTCAGAATTGGAGGAAGACTCATCAACCTCACTTGCTGAAAGCAAAGAGCACTTAATATATTGATGAAGACTGCACTTCAGTGTAAAGAAAATAATAATCTTTACAAGTGGACCAATAAATAACATCTTGATAAAGGGAGATAAGACTGAAGCTGACAAAGACTTCATTTGCTTGCACCCATAATCACGCTTATGGAAGCAGCAGTCAAGAAATCAAATGACATACTGCATTAGTCATATCGTTTGTAAAAGACCTTTTTAAAGTGTTCCAAGAGCAAAGATGTCAGTTTGAGGAATAGGATGTGCCTGACCCAAGCCATTGTATTTTCAGTCACCTCATATGCATATGAAAGTTGATCCAGTGAATAAGGAAGACTGTAGAAGAGTATCAGTGTATTTGTATTTGGTGTTGGAGAAGAATATTAAAAGTACTACAAACTGCTGAAAAAAAACACCTGTCTTCCTAAGAAGTGCAGCCAGAATGCTCCTTAGAAAGACAGTCCTCCTCTCCAGTACTTTGTACATGTTACCAGGAGAGACCAGCCAGTCCCTGGAGAAGGACATTATGTTTGGTTACATGGAGTGTCAGTGAAAGAAGAAGATGCCCATCTAGAGGAATTGATACAGTGTCAGCAACAGTGGATTCAGACATAACAATTGTGAAGATGGTGCAGGACAGGGTAGTGTTTCATTCTGTTGTGCATTTTTGTCACATGTTGGGTGGTTAATCTCAAAGTCAGCAGTTGTAAACTTCTGTGGCAGAATGGTGAAGCTTTCTTCTCCTGTAAAGATTTAGAGCCTTGGAAACCCTATACCCTATGCAGGGTCTCTATGAGTCAGAACTGATTCTACCCCATACCACCTTTTTTGGAAGTTTTAGTGTTACTCAAGTGCTTTATTCTTAGGAACAATTCTTACTTTAACCTCAGTGCTTTTCTGTTATAAGTGATGGGGCCTGTGAGAGCCATTATGAACACCTGTGTATCTTTCTATGTCTTAATAATCTGCCACAGTGCTCAGCATATAGCAGGTGCTCATTATATACCAGTTGTGAATTTAACAGTTTCTTTGGCTTTGTACTACATTTACTTTGACATTAGCAAATAACAAGTGGGCAGTTGATTAGTTTATTAAATTAACTTATAAAAGGGACTAATTTTTTCCAACAGTGTATTTGTTTTCTGGAGATAGTTTTAGATATAGAAAACAAGGTAACTTTAACCACAGATACCCTTTAAAGATAATTTTGTGAGATTGTTTGAATTTAAAGATGTGCAGATTAAAGTGATTTCTAAAGGATTTACCTATTTCTTGTGATTTGTGCATTTCAAAATTTACATGGTATTTTGAAGGCCTACGTGCCCCATTTTGTGGGGGACAAGGAGAGGATTTGAGACTCACTGATAATAGGGAACCACTGTGGCTGGCACTTGTATCTCTCAGCTGTGTTGGGATACAAAAAAAAAAAACACTCAGAAGCAAAGATGGAGACACACTGGGTTAAATGATTTCTTTCTTGTTTTAACATGTAATAATTATGGCATGAGTTCTAACAATGAAAGAAAGTATCTTTAAGTTATTCTCTAGTTTTCATTTCACCTAAATATTTTCTAGTAGACTTATATCTCAAGATTCTGATTATCACTTTTGTTTGGTTACAGGAACAAAGGAGAAACAGACTAGCAAGAGAATTGCCTTCAGGTGTATCACGAGATAAGGTAAAAACAATGCTTGTTGACCATAATAACAGTACCCAAATGGATTAGTAAGCTTCATGGTAGCGTAGTGGTTATGAGTCAGACTGCCAACCTCAAGGTCAGCAGTTTGAAACTACCAGCAGTTCTGCGGGAGAAAGATGAGGCGTTCTGCTCCTGTAATGATTTACAGCATCGGAAACACTGTGCAGGGTCACTATGAGTCGGAACCGACTCCACAGTACTTAACAGCAACAACAGAATACTACCATAGATCGAGTAATAATGTAGTCTTTCTTCTTCCTTTAATCCTCCACTGTAAGTATTTGTTTGAGTAAAGAAAGGTATGCAAGTTTAAAATCATATTTGAGTAATTATAGTGTTTTTGAATGCACTGGAATGTTTATAAAGATATGACTTAAGCAACTTTGTAAAAGAAATTCACTCTACATTACTAATAATCAGAGAGACTTTGGAAAGGAGAGAAAACAATATACACATAATAGAAGTTACCTGCAATACCTATATATTAAAATCTGTTACGCCAAATTCTTTACCAGAAAAGATCTACCAAATTCCTAAAAATGAAGTTTAGGAATCTGATTTTTTTCTTAGGTACTCAACTTGAAGAAAGCCTCTGATAAAAGCGACAAAAGTATAGGAAATTAGGCACAATAATTAACTTTACCTGCCATGATGATTGTTTTTCATGTTATTTTTACTATTTTGTTATAGAGGGGAAAAAAATTCACATTGATAAAATGTATTTGAATGCATTTTGCATCCTTGATTTTTTTTTCCCTGCATTTTTTGCCTTTAGTCTTCTAAAGTTCCAAGTGCTTTGGCACCTGCCTCCCAGGAGCCCTCCCCTGCTGCTTCTGCTGAGGCTGATGGCAAGGTCTGTTCTGATTCTTAATCTAAGCCTGCATGACTAGTTGTTTGGTGCAACATCATCATCTGGAAGAAAATACATAGAATAGCAGGGTGTTAATATGGGGCACTGTGCTAAGGTCAGATAATTTAAATCTAATACAAATTCTTGAAAAAGTTCAGTGTAATGGAGAATCAAAAATTACGTAACAATGTATACTTCATAAATTTATTGACATGCTTTTGCTTGCAATATGGAAGATGCACCCAGAAAAATAATTTAAAGAGGAAATTATCCTACACTTTTTGATTATCAAGCCAGTTATATATAAATTTTGCTTGTTAAATTGCATGTTTTAACATATCTTTTAACAGTTAATTCAGGAGAGCAGAAGAGAAACTAAAAATGTGAGTCTTTTGCTTCAGAATGGAAATGTTGATACCTTTAGTTCTCACTGAAACACTGTCTTCAAAACCATTGAAGAACCTGTTTGTACAGTGACATCTATCTCTTGTCTGTCTTAACATTCTAATGTCCCTTTAATCTAACGTCTAATCTAATGTTTCAAAGATGGCATTAATTCTCATTTTTACAGTGTTTACTAATAACAATAACAGTTTTCCCCGTTTGCTATAATACTTTCAAAAAACAGTCTTGAATTTCACATTTTGGTAGGTAACGAAGAATTCAAAGATGGAAACTGTACTATTGTGCTTTTCCTTTTCAAAGGTTCTGGTATCTGTCCAGTACTAGCATCTAATCTTTAATGCTGCTTTGTTATGCTTCTAATTAGTTTGCATTTGTCACTTAACATGTGCTTTAATAGCTTAAGCAAATTTAAAAATGGGGACTGTGAGAGTATGAGACTATAATGATCAATTCTTGATGATCTTTTAAGGGAAAAATAATACGAAAACTTTTCAAACATGTTCTTGTTTCTGTGGGAGCACAGTGCTGCTCTGCAGGGTAAGAACTGGGCTGCTAACCACAAGGTTGGTGCTTGGAGCCCACTAGCTGGTCTGCGGGAGAGATGAGGCTTTCTGTTTCCATAATGATTTACAACTTTGGGAACCCTATACAGGGTTTCTCGAGTCCGAACCTAACTTGATGGCACTTAACAATTCTTATTTCTAGCATTTATGCCACCAATTTTACTTTTTACCCAGATTTAAGGTTCTGAACTTCAAAGCCTAATATGTCATACTGTCTCTTAGCCCACTGTCCTCAGAGCTAAGTTGTTGCCTAAGTTTTGTTTCACTCATGGCATCATACTGAATGTGTTCATTCTTCATAAGATTTCATCTGATAAGTCTTTCATGTGTAGTTAACAAGTGTTTAAAATATCACTGATTTTAAAAGTAATGTATAATATAAAATAGAATGTATAATACTGCTTATATTTAGATGTAGCTCACCTTAGCTAAGATTGAGAGATAAATTTTGGCCAGCATTTTGATTGAGAATAACAAAAACTGACATTGAGGGAACTTGTGCTTATGTCACAGTCTAATTTTTGGCAGCTTAAGAATAGTGAGTGTAGTGTTCTTTGTTAAAGAGTTTCTACTTTTACTGTATGATATTTTTGTTTGATTGATCATTAGGAAATATAAAAGCACACATAGCTTAGCAGATTACTTTGAAGAAATTAAATTGAATGGCAATTCTGTTTTTCCTTGTGATTTATAATGAATTGTGTTTTGATGGGAACTGAATCCTTCCCTGGTAATTGAGAAGTAGGAAAACATTAACATTTTTGGAAAGTTTGCAAATGACAATTAAGAAAAAAAAAGGGGGGGGAGGCGGGTAATGAGACCTACTTGGCTGAAGCCTTACAATCTACTATAGAACCGCTTTATTTAGATAGCTCAGGGTTCCAGTCATCTTTTTTAATTACCATGTCTTTTTGATCCCATTATCTGTATAAATAGAGTAAACTCCAGATGGGTACTGGATATATGTTCTTCTTGTCAACAGCAAAATAAACTTTTGTTGAGCCTTAATGTCAGCTATATGTGATTGGTTTAGGTTTTTGTCTGTCTGATTCTCAGGTTGCATCTGGAAGTGGTGGGGTAGGAGATGCTGTACAAGAACCAACAACAGGCAACTGGAGAGGAATGTTGAAAACTTCAAAAGCTGAAGAATTATTAGCTGAAGAGAAATCAAAACCAATTCCAATTTTGCCAGCCAGTCCACAAAAAGGCCATGCTGTGAATCTGCTGGATGTGGTACGCCATGAAGATTTGGTTTGGGACTAATAAGATGACCAAGTTAGTGGGAAAACATTTCAAACAAGAAACCACATCTGTTTTTTACTTAACTTTGAATTCTTTTACATGTCACCAGTTTTAAGATGCCATAAAAAATTTTTTTTTCCCTTGCCTCTTTTAGCCAGTTCCTGTTGCACGAAAATTATCTGCCCGTGAACAGCGAGACTGTGAAGTGATTGAACGGCTTATCAAATCCTATTTTCTTATTGTCAGAAAGAATATTCAAGACAGGTTAGTAGTACTTACATGTGCATCACAGATTAATGTATATCACCCAACAATAGCAATATACTATGAATAATTCCATGATTTGTTTTGAAGATAAATTCATTTTTTAAAGTTCAGGTTAATTTTTATTCTAAGTCAAATGGATCATTTATTTGTCTTTAGGGGATATTGCAGTGACGAGGACATGGCTGATAGAAAAAGTTAGTAACAAATGGAGATATTCTTTTGTCCTTTCTAACTGCTAGATCTTAAGTCATTTATGAAAAAGATTATTTTTACAAATTTTAGGTTAGTGGATTTATTATTTTAGCTAATGATATTACCTTGTCTTTTATTTATTTTAGTTCTTCAAAGTATCAAAAAAAAAAAAAAAAAAAAGTCTTTTTACTCAGGTTGTTATGTGCTGTGGAGTCGATTCCGACTCAGTGAACCCTATACAGGCTTTCCGAGGCTGTAAATCTTTACTGGAGCAGAAAGCCTCATCTTTCTCCCGTGAAACAGCTCGTAGTTTCAAACTGCTGACCTTGTGGTTCGCAGCCCAATTCATAACCACTACGCTACCACAGTCCTTTTTACTTAGGTTAGGAAGTATATTTTTATTTCTTCATTCTAATTTGGCCTTCTCCTGTGTTCACTGTCATAGTATTTCTTTCCCATATTGCCTGTGATGCTATTCTTGCATGCAGTCAGATAGGGAATCCACTTTTTTAAAGTTTTTATTGTGAATTATGGGATAGTTTACATGGGAGAATATTAGCTTTACATTCATCCCATCTTATTTTGTTTCATTGCAATGATTATAATTGCTTGCAATGATTATAATTGCTTGCATGCATCATCAACCAACCAAAGGGTACACCCCACAAACCCACATGGGTACTTTTTCTTAGACTATTTCTCCTTTTCTGACTAACTGATTTCACTCAGCATAATGTCCTCAAGGTTCATCAATGTTATGTGGAGGCTTGCAGCTTCCTTGTTGTTTTTCAAGGTAGCATAATATTCCATTGTATGTATGTACCAGTTTGTTTATCCATTCTTCAGTTGATGGGAACTTAAGGCTGTCTCCATCTTTTTGCTTTTGTAAACAGTGCTGCTATGAACACTGGTGTGCATATATCTACTCCTGTTATGGCTCATATTTCTTGTGGATAAATACCAAGTAGAGGAATTGTTGGATCATACGGTGTCTCTATTTCCAACCTTCTGTTTTCCAGAGTGGTTGGATCATTTTGCAATCCCACCAGCAATGTAGGAGTGTCCCAGTCTCTCCACATCCTCGCCAGCATTATTGTCTGGTTCCTGTTCGCAGAGGGAAGGCTTTCAGTTTCTCTCCATTGAGAGTAATGTAGGCTGTTGGTTTTGTATATATACTCTTAATTACGTTGAGTTTCCCTTCAATTCCTACTTTACTTTCTTGAATGTTTTTTATCAGGAATGGATGTTGGATTTTGTCGAATGCCTTTTCTGTATCAATCAGTATAATCATGTGGTTCTTTTCTTTTTTCTTATTTATAAGGTGGATTACACTGATTGTTTTTCTAATGTTGAACCATCTTTTCATCTCTGATACAAATCTCACTTGGTCATGATGTATTACTTTTTTTGATGTATTGCTAGATTCTGTTGAGAATTTTTACATCTATGTTCATGAATTCATGAGGGATATTAGTCTATGATTTTCTTTTCCTACTGATGTCCTTCTCTGGATTTGGTATGAGGGTTATGCTTGTTCATAAAAAAATTAGGAAGTTTTCCATCCACTTTTATATTCTGGAATAATTTGAGCAGAATTGGAGACAGCTCTAACCTGAATGTTTGGTAGAACTCACTAGTTAAGCCATCTGGGGCTGGACTTCTTTTGGCTGGGAGTTTTTTGATGACCTGATCAATTTCTTCTTGTTATGGGTCTGTTCAGGTTTTCTGTTTCATTTTGTGTAAGTTTAAGTAGGTCGTGTTTTTCTGAAAATGTATCCATCTCTTTTAAGTTTTCAAATTTGTTGGAGTACAACTCTCTGTAGTATTGTGTTAATTTTGGATGTTTGCACTTATCACAATAAAGCACCATTTTCGCTGTGTCTCAAAGATTTTGGTATGTTGTTTCCTTCTTGTTTCTAGGAACTTTGTGCATTCATGTTTAATTTTTTTGTTTAATTTTTTTCTATTATCCAGGTGCTTTTCAGTTTATACGTATTTGATTTTATTTCCTTGGTTGTCTTGTTGATTTCTAGTTTTATGGCATTGTGGTCTGAAAAAAATGCTTTGTAGTATTTTGATGTTTGTAAATTTATGGAGGCTTGCTTTGTTACCTAACACATGGTCAATTCTGGAGAACGTTCCTTGTGTACTGGAAAAGAATGTGTATTGTGCTGTTGGGTTGAATGCTCTGTACAAATCTATGAGGTCAAGTTGGTTGATTGTGCTGTTTAGTTCCTCTGTGACTGTTGAGTTTCTTTCTAGTTGTTCTATCCCTTTTCGAAAGTGGCATATTAAAATCTCCCACTATAATTGTAGATTTATCTATTTCTTTCTTCAGTTCTAGAAGGGTTTGCTTTATATATCTTGGTGCTCTTTCATTTGTGGTGTAGATGTTAATTATAGTTATGTCATCTTGCTCAACTGACCCTTTAATCATGAGATAGTGTCCTTTATCTCTTATGCTGGGTTTTGCCTTTAAGTTTATTTTAATCAGACATTAGTATTGCCATTTGTGTTTATTATTGCAGTTAGCTTGGTATTTTTTTTTTCCATACTTTAACTTTTAGTCTGTTTTTGTCTTTGTGTGTACGGTGTGTCTCTTGCAGGCAGCGTATTGAGGGATCTTGTTTTCTTATCCATTCTGCCACGTTGTCTCTTCACTGTTGCGTTTAATCCATTGATACTCAGTGTAATTTTCGATTCGTTGTTAAGTACCATCGAGTCGGTTCCGAGTCTTAGTGACCCTGCACAGGGTTTCCAAGGCTGTAAATCTTTATGGGAGCAGAACACCTCATCTATTAATTGGTGTCACTGTTAATTTTTTTGTGGTGCTATTCATTCCTTTGTTCTGCATACCTTCATGTTTTCTGTACTAATTCTTATCAGTTTCTCCTTAGTTTTAATGTTTCCTTGTCCTGCTTTGGATATTCATTTTCATGGTAAATTGAGAATTACTAATTTTCTTTCGAGTTACCCTATAGCCTATTTAAAGTTTTCACTGGGTTTAAGACAGTCTGTTGTATCCTGCAATCTACCTGACCTCCTCACCACCTGGATCTCTGTCGCTACATCTTCCCTTCTGTGACATTGTTAATATATTGATCTTTGGCCTCACAGGTCCTCTGAATTCGATTTGTTGTTTCAATTTTGTTCTGTTCTGAACTCTGCTATTTGAGTTCTCTGCTGAGTGGTGTTGCCATGTCTGTCCATCTCTGGTTGTTGTGTAGTCTTGCTGGTTTTCATTCCAAAAGGATGTTTTGAAGTGCTGGATTGGCTTTGCACCATCGTATTTGACAGTTTTGCTGGATAGACGATTCTTAGTTGGCAGGTTTTTTTTAGGGTTTTATATATGTGTCTCCATTGCCTGCATGGTTTCTGCTGAGAAGTCAGAGTTTAATCTGATTTGCTTGCCTTTGTAGGTAACACTTCTCTTTACTTGACTTTGATTTTGGAGAGCTTGATTATGATATGCCTTGGCAATTTTCTTTTGGAGTCTATCCTTCCTGGCATTTGTTCAGTTTCTTGATTCCTTAAAGATGTTAGGGAAATTTTCTTCCAGTAGTTCCTCAACTATCTCCTCTGTGGACTTGTCTGATTCTTCCTGTTCTGGAATGCCAATAATTCTTGTTATTCCTCTTCATGTTATCCAGCATGAATCTTAAGACTTTCTTCAGATTTTTTAAAATCCTTTTTTGCTTGCCTATCTTAGCAGTATTGAGAGATTTGTCTTCCAGCTTGCTGGTTCTGACTTCCATCTCTTCAATTCTAATCCTTTGATATTTTATCAAATCATCTGGACCTCTTTTTGCAGGTTTTGAATTGTTTCCAATGCTGTATTTTTCTTGTTTGATTGCTTCTGCATTCTTTTGAATTCGTTCTCAGGCATATCCAAAGCCTGCTGTTCTACTGGGAAGTCTATGTCTGCCTCTAGCTCATTTGTCTCAATTACTGTTTTCTGTTTTCAGACATGTGCTGAGATCTTTTATTGTTTTTTCTTGGACATTTTCAGCAGTTAGGTGGGTTTTTAATACTTAAATGAATGTATGGTGCTGTGTTGTTAAGCTTGTCTCCTGGTGGATGTGATCTGGAGACAGGAAGTAGCAGCCTGTGGGACCAATGGGTTTCTCAGGAACCTCCTCCTCTCTGTGCCATGGGAAAGCTGTGGGCACAATGCTGGACCCTTTTAGGGGTACGCTCCCACCCGTCTGAAGGTGTCTGGGCTGGGGACTGAGGGTGTGTCTGGGGAGAGGAGGAAAGAAGCGTGAAAAATTAAAATTCCATCACACCTTTTTTTAGACACAGCTCCACAGCTTCTTAGCGCTGTGTCATTGTATCCGTTTGGCTGTGGCCCCGCCCTCTGATCTCAGTCCAGGCCGAGGGGGGCCGTAGGGGATTGATGGGCCCGATCGATTCAGAAATCCCCGTTATGTTGCTTCTACAGTCAGATTTCTCCACAGGTAGGCGTGGGAAATTGGAGCCCAGTGCCTTATACAAGATCCAAAACTCTGGCGCTGCTCTGGGAAAGTTCCTTCTGTTTTTTTTTTCTGCACCTCCGCCGAGGAGCCTTTCCTACCTGTGTCTGCTTCACCTGCCCGCTAGGGAATCCACTTTACTAGAAGTTAAACACAGAATATTTTCTAATAAATCTGTTAGCAGGTTAAGATAAATTTCTTTATATTAAATCAATGATTTTGCCTCTTTCTGAGTTCAAATACCATAAAAATCACCTTTTCATCACCCCAAGGAAAAGAAGTGTGAGTAGTACTTGCCAAAATGTCACAGATTTGTTTTGTTTTGCAGTGTACCAAAAGCAGTAATGCACTTTTTGGTTAATCATGTGAAAGATACTCTTCAGAGTGAATTAGTAGGACAACTGTATAAATCATCCTTATTGGATGATCTTCTGACTGAATCTGAGGACATGGCACAACGGAGGAAAGAAGCAGCTGATATGCTAAAGGTATTACTGTGATTTAAAAAAAAAAAATTCATACGTGGATTACAGATATAAACACATTTATATAAATATTTTGTTTAAAATGCATAGATTTTTGGCTATGTTATGGTCTCATATAGATTTATTATGTACAGAGCCCTGGAGGTGTAGTGGTGGTAACCAAAAAGATTGTCTGCTTCCATAAAGATCATAACCCTCTATGGAGCAGATCTACTTTGTCCTAGAGGATTGTTATGAGTCATAGATAGTGTCTAGGGTTTCTTGAGCCGCCAACCTTGCGGTTCAAACTGACTTAGCAGTCCAGCGCATTAATCCCACAGCACCACACCAGGACTCCCGTATGCTATCCATCCCTTCTCCAGGCAGGTTGTCCTGGGTAGTAAGCTGGCTTTCCCTGCATGTATATATGTGTGTATATACACATACACACATACAGAAAGCCTGCTTTCCCAGAGAAGCAATGGATAGTGTAGGGTAAAATAGCCTAGGCCACCTGAACCAGGGCTGGGGTTACCAAGGCACATACTTTTCCACTGGCACCCTACAGGACCATACCACTCAAAACTTGGGGAACTAGACTTGCTGAGCTAAGTGGGACTCACAAAACTGTGTGTCTCAGCCCACAGATATACCGTATTTGTTTTGCAAATAATGCATGCACATAGGAAACTAAGGTGCAATAAACTGGACACATGTGCATTGTTTTTTATAAAAATACATTATATGCAGTCAGACATTGCCTGTATATATACTGACTCAACAGCACTTACCAGCAACAACACATGTACAGAAAAACAGCTAAGGAAGCCTGGTGGCACAAAGGCTATAAGCACTTGGCTTTTGTCCAAAAGGTTGGTAGTGTCTCCATAGGATTAAAGACCTATTTAGTTTAGAAAATTCTTTGGGGCAGTTCTATTCTTTCCTACAGACTTTGATGGTACACAGAAACATAACTAGTTAATTTTCTTATATATATATATAGAATTTGAATTTGTTCATTCAAGTACTATAAAAACTCAGATCCCTGAATGTATCACAACTTAATAAGCATTTCCTAATTTTTACCTTCTTTAATGCAGGCATTACAAGGAGCCAGTCAAATTATTGCTGAAATCCGAGAGACTCATCTTTGGTGAATAGAACTAGATGATACTAGAGACTCTGTTGACTCAATTCAATAGCTACTGCCTACTTCAGAAGAATTTTATTTATGAACTCCTGTCTATTACAGTGGTATGAATCTGCTCATGTGAAGACTGGCTGTTAACTGAAAAAACGTACTCTGTTTTGCAGAACAAATCATATAATCCAAATAAATAAATGGCTGTTTCTAAAGTTTTCCAGTATATAAAAATATATCAAGTTATCAAGTCTGTCTATCACAGTTTCTGTTGAACATGAAAAGAACTGTTGATGTTCTTCTAGTAGTACAAGCAGTTTGCTGCCTGTGGATAAGATGACCTGTGTAATCTTTGTTAGATGATCTGTCTTGAATTTGCTGCCATAGTCCTTCAAGACAAAAGTGTCAAAACAATACTTCATCAAATATAATGCATGTGCTGTATAAATAGATCTGGCTTTGAAAGGTGTGGTTTGACAAGGTACTCACATAGTCACTGTTTTCCACTTGTCCTTCAATTTATAGTTTTTTTGAGCTGCTCTGAAACTTTCCATTTGTTGGTAAGAAATCTGAACGCACAAGAAAATATGTGACATTGAAAATTATGGGGTGTACATATTGTATAGCTAGCTACATAGTAGGCTTTCTACTTCTGGGTCCATGTTACCCTGGTGCATTAAAAGTTAAAACATTCTGATCTTTCTTAATTTCCTGCTTAAAACCATCTAGAGTTGAGTTTTTAGAGATTTCAATGACCTAAACTCTTTGGTTTGCAAATACAGCAATAGTAGTCAAGATACATCTTTTAAATGCAACACTTTCACCATGTTCCCAAGATTCACTTTCAGGTGGGAGTTAAATAAAACCAAATTAGCATTATGATCCATTTAGACTATAATCTATCTCCCCCCCACCCCTTCCCGCATAAGGCATTGGTTAGTACTAACTACATTTGCTTCATATCACAAAATACTTTAAGCTTCATCACTATATCTGTAACTATTCTAAAGTAAAACATAAAAGACACACTCCTAAAGGCTACAGAATACTGAACTGCATTCATGGTTATACTGGTAGAAATCTTTTAAGACATCTAGCTCCATCTCTAACATACTGTGTAGGTAATAACATTTCAAATTATGACCAGAGATTTATGAAGGCTACTGGCAAGGAAAATATAAGTATTTTCTGTTAATTTGTGGTACCCACTTACTACAGAACAGTGAAGTTCAGCACTGATCTTAAACATGAGAAACCCAGACAGAATACTGTTATTTTTGTCAGTCTGTTAGTAACTGAGATACATGTTAGCCAGAATATTTGTTTTCAGGTTGAAAAGTCACTCTGCTATCATTAAATCGTCAGTTTTGAAGTTACAGACATCTACTTATTTCAGATAGTAGATTAAATGACTACCATTCTGAATGTCATTCTAGCCTTGGATTTATAAGGGGAAAAAAAAAACGCAAAATCTATGATTCTCCAGCATATCAAACATATTTTCAACTCTGAGAATGCTAGCTTTAAATACATACAAGCTATGGTAATGTTCTTGCTAGTACTGCACTTTGTACAAAAAAAACCAGAGGCAAAAAACCTAGGGAAAAGGGGTACCTTCTTTTGTTGGTCCTTAAACCAAGTGAAGTTTGGACATGTAAAGATGGCCTCTGACATTTATAATGGAAACCTGTATGCTGTTGCTCTGTAAATAAAATGCTGGTTAAGAAGTGACATTGAAATGTTTGTCAATAAATGAATTCTTCCTAAGGAAATTTGGTCTCAGGTTTGCTCTCAAAAGATAGGTGGAGGCTTTTAGCACGCACCTGTGTCTACTTTGGAACATTACAATACTGGATATCTGAGATAATATTTGCCTCTCTAAAAAATTCCTTGGTTGCTTAATTTTTCAGATTAAGTAGCCATGTGCTTGGATAGAAGTTCAAATTTAAAACTAATATGAAAGTTAATAAAATTCAGGAAGGAAATGGAAAACTGTAGGAGTCACTTTCTGAAAAGTCAAGTACTCATCTTTGTTGTTTTATTGTAATTTCAAATGCAAACTATGTATTCATCTAACTTTTCTACCTTTTTAGGTTGTTTTTAAGTGCCATGGAGTCAGTTGTGACTCTGTATATGGTTTCCAAGAAGCAGCCTAGTGAGTTTGAACCACCGACCTTGTGGTTAGCAGTCAAGTGCTTATCATATAGTGCCACACCAGGAGTAAGTATATTTGCTTCTGAAAAATTATTAACAGAAATGTACAAATTTCCAACACTACTACATACTCTGTTTTTAATGATGACACTAGAGGTGCTGCTGGTTTTACAACTATAACGCTCTAGGTGTGGCTTTGTTAAGATCTGTACTGCTAACCAAAAGATCAGCAGTTCAAACCCACCAGTCACTCCTCAGAAAACCGTACACACAGGATGCTCTGATTAGGAACCAACTCGATGGCACTTAATGACATTATCACTCTAGAGGGAAAAACCAAAGCAGTTGTATAGTCTTCTCACAATTTCTTATACTGTCCCTGTCACTACAAAGCAGAGAACAGGAACTACAGGGTAGAAAAGATAGGATTTAAAAAAAAGATTTAACTCTGAAAATCAGTTTACTATGGTAATCCTTAATGTCTGCAGGTCAGGAAACAAAACATTCCATTGTCACACAACAACCCAATTATAACCAATTACTCACACTGTGAAGCCTAGAGTATACTCCATTCTGGTTTTGCTTTGCATGAGTGATGGTCTAAGTCCTGGAGACAACATTTCGTATATCTTGAGAGAAAATAATGGATAAAAGTTGTTTAAACAACCAGGAATTTTCATTACAGCTGAAGCCATTTTATGATATAGAAATTCCTTTTTCCAATTTTAAGTAGTGAAAGTCCATTCTTGAGAATATGTTGTCCAACAATTAAAACACTCTCAGGATTTGTTACTTGTCTGTGATTTATACTGACTCCACCTTCAGTTATCATCCGATATCTAAAAACAGAAATGTTTAGAAGAGGTCAATTTAATCATAGTTGATGCAGACCACGAATGCCATTAAATTTCATTTAAATCTCAGAGGAGTCCCAAGTCTTGGATTATCTTCATGCTCACTTTGTCGTTAAGTGCAACTGAGTCAGTTCTGGCTCAGTGACCCTGTATAGGGTTTCTGAGAAGCGGCTAGTAAATTTGAACAACTAACCTTGCAGGTCAAATGGACCTTGCAGTCCAGTGCAGCATCACACACTCCATATGATCACATTATTATATTTCCCCTTTATGTGTTTCTAAAGGAGATTTAAGCAATAGGTTTCTGTGTTTAGTGGAGAAACTAGCAGGCATATCTAACAAGTCTTGATAGAGCTATTCAGTAGGTAGTGCAGAATCACTTTCTGGAGAGCCTCCCTATCCTAAAACGAAAAAGAAAATAAATTTCCAAAAATTGAACAGATTTCCGGTTGGGGCTATAGCAAGGAAAACCAGGTAGGGTATGCTCTGGTGAGAAGGGAGGGGAATCTCACAAAGGAAGTGCTCATAGAACAACTCCAGAGCTCTGGATCTACCATAAAATACAGGACTTCAGTTTCCCGCACTTGCAAGTGAAAAAATCATGATGATTAAGGAAAATACCGGTAAGTTAGGAATCTGGAGACGGGACTCCCTTGGTGACTTCTCTTGGTGACTACCCTGCCCTAAACAATACAATCAGCCAACTGAACCTCATAGATGTGTACAGAGCATTCAACCTAACAACAGCATAATACACATCTTTTTCCAGTGCACATGGAACATTTTCCAGAATTGACCATGTGCTAGGTCACAAAGCAAGCCTCCATAAGTTTACAAATATCAAAATTCTACAGAGAATCTTTTTACACCACAATGCTATAAAACCAGAAATCAACAATAAGAAGACCAAGGAAATAAAGTCAAATACAAGGAAACTGAACAACACCCTGCTGAAATGCAACTGGGTAAAAGAAGAAATTAAACATGAATTCACAAAGTTCCTAGAAACAAATGAGAATTAAAAGACAACATACCAAAATCTTTCGGACCCGGTGAAAGCAGTGCTGAGAGGACAATGTATTGCAATATATGCGCATATCCAAAAAGAGGAAAAAACTAAAATCAAACCATTAACACAGCATCTTCAACAATTAGAAGCAAACCAGCAGAGGGAACCTACAGTCACCAAAAGAAAGAAAATAATAAAGAGCAGAAATAAATGAGATGGAAAACCGAAAAACTATAGAAAGATCAACAGGACAAGAAGCTGGTTCTTCGAAAGGATTAATAAAGTTGACAAACCATTGGCAAAACTAACTAAAGAAAAGAGGCAGAAGACACAAATAACTCTCAGTAGACACCACATGGGTGAAGTCAACAGAACCAAGCAAAATCAAAAGGATAAGAACAGAATACTATGAAGAGTTGTACTGCAACAGATTCGAAAACTTAGATGAGATGGATGTTTCTAGAAAACCATGACCTACCTAAACTTACTCAGAATGAAGTAGAAAACTTGAACAAACCCATAACAAAAGAAGAAATT